ATATATATATATATATATTCAAAATTTTAATAACTACGTATTTGAGTTTTGAAGAAGAAAACTGTTCCGCTATAAGTTTAGAGTAAGTAAAGCCTCGGATAGTAAGGTCGTTACATCCATGAGGCAGAAAAAATTGATACTATTGTTATGAAAAAAAAAGGCAGAAAAAATTGATACTAGTGTTATGAAAAAGAAAGTTGATTGTTTGTTGATGTTTTGCCATCTTTTTGAGGTGGGGAAAGCTCTAAAGCTCCTACATATCCTCTCTATTTTTTTTTCTTTTTCGAAAATGCTCCTAAATTTGTCTTGGTTCAATCGAATTGTATCCTCCTCTTTCCTCATGAACTAAATTAGGATTAATCTCATTAGTATCTCCCATTTAATTCCTCTTATAAGAATTTATGTTAAAATCATATGGAAAAAAGAGAGTTAAGTGTGACCGTGTAATTTTTATCTATTTGTCTTTAACAGGAGTTCAAACAAAAAGACTACGTGACTGCATTGCTCTCTCTTTCTTTTTATATGTTTTTAACAGAAATTACAATAGTAGGAGTTAAGTGGAAACAATTCAAAGTTTAGAGACAAAGTGAGAGTTTTTAAAGTTTGGAGGATAAATTGAGAATGATCTTAAAATTCAGAGATACTAGTGCTAATAATTCATTAAATTAATAGGGATGGTACGGTTAATGGTATCCATGTCCAACGGATCATGGTTTACGTTTTGACTATGGTTTTGAGGTTGAATTAATGGATGTTATTGTGGCGATTTCATAGGCTTACAATTTTGGTTGGGATTATTGATGGTTTGAATCATATTCTACAAGTTGTCAAAGTTACTTCAAATGCGGAAATTTTCGCTTTTAATCTTAGTTAATATATGAACGAATTTTCAATATTTACGTTTTAATCGGTGATTATTATTAATATACTAGTAATTTGAAGACTTAACGTGATAATAATCTAATCTCATTAATTATCATAAACTTTTTTATTTACTATTTAATTTATTATAACCGTGAGATTAATATCTTATGGCTTGGAATAACTGTTAAAGTCAAATTTCGTTCCTCATTTCTCACCGTACACGTGTCATCATGCGTCTCAGAAAATGGGACCAAATTATGAAATCGCCTGCCAGGCTTCGAGCAGTCGGCAGCTCGTGGGGTCCCAGTGCTGCCCGAACGACCAATCTAACAGCTAGCCAGACGAGCAGTCAAACAAACATGCTAGCTCAGCATCCGAAAATTAAGTATGAAGATCTCATCTCTAGCAAGAATATTCATTATTAAACCGATGGATCACGCCCAAAAAAACAAAGGGAAATGTTAATCATCCCACATGCTTGCTCCGTAAGCATCATCCCTATAAGGAAAGATCTAGAGGATCATCAATCAAAGTTCAAACGGGAAACTACCCAAAGGCTCATTTTCAGCCACCAAGAACCTATATATAAATGCACAGCATAGGCGTCCAAAACAGGGTTCACACATTTCTACACACGCTTTCACCCCTGCAAGCATATTTATTCTTTTCTTACATACTTTTCAGTTTTTTTCTCACGCTGTTTCTCTTTGTATTCATGGAGAGCACCATTGTAATCATCTTCTTCAATCAGTGAAACTACCACATATCTTACAGTAAATTTATCCTGGATTATCAGGAGAACCACTATAAAATATCTATATCCATATTTCTTATATTTTTCTATTGATTTCTTTCATTATTTACACGATACTGACGTCATCTTTTGAATTCAATCATTAGCCTCTAAACAATTTAATTGTATATTTGACCATTAAAACCACACCAATATAAAAATATGTATATGTATGTGTTGATGCCGGATTGACACGTGCACTGAAAGGGGGACACTTCACGTAGGAAATATATAAGTAGGCGTGGAATGATAGCGTTTCTTCTAAGGTCTCGTTCGTTTCGCTGATTCGAGTTTAGAATTCGAGTTTTGCTACAGTAAAAAGCTCTCACAAACAGTCACATCTAACTTTTTTACTACAGTAAAAAGCTCTCACATAAAATCACATCTCAACTCGAATTCTAAACTCGAATCAGCGAAACGAACGAGGCCTAAATCTCGCTAAATAATACTGGCTCCTAATAAAGTGACGTCGATGAGAATTATGAATGGCTATAAAAATAATAAACTATTAATAAATTAATTTATCAAGTGCCAACCATACGAAATAACCGAATGAAAGAAATAAAGTTAGATTCTTAAAGCAACGAAACTAAACTCGTTCATTTCACGAATTTAAATTTATTATAGTTAAAAATTTTCACAAAAAGTGATATCTAATTTTTTTATTACGGTAAAAAACTCTCATATAAAATTATGTCTCAGCTCAAATTAAAAACTCAAATCAACAAATTGAATGAGGGTTAAGAAAAATATACTTGCTTGCTTTATATCCTAAACCGCATAAAGACTCGGGCTGGCCAAGGCCGAGCTTAGATCTTGGGCCCGAGAACCTAATTGGTTTTGGACCAACCCACCTCATCTATTTTTTTAATATAAAATTTGTACCATATTATCTAACATACATTCTTCTCAAAAAGAGCTGACACCACGGGTACATTTGAAGTTGATTTTAAAATGATTATATTTTTAATAAAAAGTAAAAATAAGATTATTTTGAGAATCATTTTGAGACCGATTTTAAAATTACATTTGGTTGATTTTTTAATAGATTGTTTTGAGTATAATAAAAAAGTGAAATTGTGTTTATTAATTAATATATTAGAATATAATTAATATATTATAATATAATCGTGTTTATTATAATATTGTTAATTATATTATATTATAATTAATATATTCTAATATTGTTTATTAATTAATTATTAATATATTAATTAATATTGTTTATAATTAATATTATTGATAATTAATAATTACCAAAATATTTATATACTACTTGACTGACTGACGCAGGGCATAATAGAGCGTGTCGACAGAAATAGAATAGTAGTACTATAAAGAGCAGAGTACATTCCAAAATGGAAGTATAAGAAATTAAAATATGCTAAGTTTCTACTTGTATCTAGCCAGTATTGTATTTTTGTATTGTGCATTGTATTATTTTTAACGTGGACAATAATAAATTAGATTGTAAAATTTTAATCGCTTACACTACCAAAGCTAGGCAAATCTCTAAGCTCCAAACACAAAATGTACGCGAGGATGGAAGTTAATGGTAATCTCGATATCAGATTGTTCGGATATCATATATTTAACTAAATTAATTAAAGAGATAAATCAAAATCGTGCTTGACCTTCTAAAGTAAATCAGTTTTCATAAAGTACGTAGCTATACCAAATAAGTATTTATTTATAGACTACTACTTGACCAACTCTTATGAGTTATGACGATATAATGTCAAGATATGAAAATTAAAAACAATAATATTAAGCATGTCCTGGCTAATATGTATAATATTAGGATATATCTTATTATGGAAAGAAACATTATCATTGTTACGACTTTTGTTAGTTGGCAATTTTTGGCAAAAGGTTGTAACAATTATGGAGATTCTATCTCTAGATTTTTGCACCAGATTTGGAATGTTTGACATCTCTTGAGTTGATTCTTTCTATAGAAGAAGGTAAGCTTTTTAAGAATGTAATTCCAGAAGGCTAACTTTGGTTATGTGATTGGTTCTATTTTTTAGAAAGTATTCTTTTCAGGATGTAATTGGTTGTATATGTGGTCATCGTGGAAAAAGGAAAGAAGCAGTGAGGGTGGCTGATTTTGTGCATTCGGTGGAGTGAGTATTTTGGGGTGATAGTGTGATGAACATGGATGGTTTTTAGGAGTATAGAACCACGGAAAAGTTTTGTTTCTGTGATGCTTAATTGGTGATTGAACGATTTGGCTTTTGGGAAGAAACTTGCATCGCTTTCGGGAGAAAGCTTTCGAAGTTGAGTGGCGCTCGCTAGACAAAGCCACTAAGAGGATTCTACACAGCGGCGACGACATTAACGAGGGAGTCTTTGCGTGTGTAAGACCGATTGGTGATTGTAATTCTTTGAACTTGTGGATTGTTTACTGTATGGGTGTGACCCTGCAGATGTAGGTGTGCGCACCGAACTGCGATATCATTTTTTATTGTCTTTCATTTTTTTCTACACTATTTTCTGTTTATGCACGTTTTCAATTCATTATCCACTAATTATCTCTGAATGTAATAGTTGATTGTAAGTGTTGCTAAAAGTGTTGTAACACTTTTTGTAACACTTGCGTGAAAACAGACCTAACAATAACTATGATAACTAATAACTAGCATGTCTTCTTTTTCTAAATTAAGGAGCCACGTACGTCATGACAAAAATATCAAGAAGATTATCTGAATCTTTAACTCTTCTCCATTCCCTATATAAACCCAACCATACATTGGAGGAGCACACAAGATAAAACAAAAGCTAATAAAAAGGAATCGTACTACGTAATGACTAATCACCATTTCTTTTCCCTCTCCTTCCTGGCCGTGGTAACCCTAGCGGTTACCAGCATGGGCACCCACGCAATCAACGTTTACGACTTCGTCAACAGAGCTGGATCCAGCGCCGGATATGCCTGCTTCACCAGAGAAATCGGAGTCTCGTATGCCAGGCAGACTCTCATAACTGCCACGTACGATATATGGAAATGGTTCGAGCAATATTCAGCTGCGCAACGAAAGGACGTCAATCGACTCGTCTTGATCCTCGAAAACTTCCCCGACAGCCAGGTTCAAGTCCCGGCAAATGCAACGACCAACGAGATCCATCTCAACGGAAGGTACATCGCGAGCTATTCCGGCGATGTCAAGAGGGAGATCACAGGGGTTCTATACCACGAGGTGACTCATGTTTTGCAGCGGAATGGAAACGGGCAAGCCCCGGGATGGTTGATCGAAGGAATCGCGGACTACGCGAGGTTGAGGTCGTGTTATATTCCGAGCAACTGGGTAAAGCCAGGAGGAGGGGATAGCTTCTACAAAGGATACGATGTTACTGCAAGATTTCTTGATTATTGCACTGGCTTGAGAAGTAACTTTGTGGCTGAACTCATCAAGAAATTGAGGCCGACTGGTTACGTTGACGATTACTTCAGACAGCTTATGTTTTAGTGCTCGAACAATCTCCATAAATCCTATATGGCACTTATTAGAGTCTGCTTGGTGTACGTGACTCTGATTTCTCTAGTGAAAAGGGAGTATCCGACACTAGATCCGGCTCTAATGTTGAAGTCGTAAACGTTGATTGCATGAATGCCAATGATGGTAACCGCCAGGGTTACCACGCCAACAAGGAGAGGGAAATTAAGAAACGGGGAGCCATGGATTATTGTGTATAGTTTTAGTTATGTGATTCGCTTTTTCGTCTTTTTAACTTTTTTTTGGGATATAGATAGCTATTAGATAGTTGGACATATATAGGGAACGAAAATACGATTCAAAATTTGGCTACTAAATGATAGTGCTTGTCTTATCAATTCAAAGGTCAAAACTCATCCCTAAACTTAATTGTAACTTTAGTACTTCTCTTTCAATTATGTGCAAGTCACGTGGCTACTTATAAAGAACAATATAGTAAATTCAAACAAATTAAATAGATTTTGAAGTGTTAAAAATTAAATAAAAATCGTAAATTCTTTCGATTATTGTGTATAGTTTTAGTTATGTGATTCGCTTTTTCGTCTTTTTAACTTTTTTTTGGGATGTAGATAGCTATTAGATAGTTGGACATATATAGGGAACGAAAATACGATTCAAAATTTGGCTACTAAATGATAGTGCTTGTCTTATCAATTCAAAGGTCAAAACTCATCCCTAAACTTATAATAAATTGTAACTTTAGTACTTCTCTTTCAATTATGTGCAAGTCACGTGGCTACTTATAAAGAAAAATATAGTAAATTCAAACAAATTAAATAGATTTTGAAGTTTTAAAAATTAAATAAAAATCGTGAATTCTTTCACATATCAAGTGTGTACTTCTCCTTTATTTGCAACCCCTTCATCTCCATCACCCTTTTATTTTGCCTTTTACCAGCTAGTAATGCCACCACAGACATTTTAAAAACATTGACATTTTATTGATAGAAGTATCAAACTTTGCAAATTATGATAAGCTAATAATTCTATTCAGTTTCATACTTAATATAACTATATATATAAAATTTTCAGTTAGTATACTATAAGGATGTGATTACATATAGAATTTTAATTTTTCTTTTATCAAAATGGAAAAAATTTTAGAGTTATAATTTACCAAAAATGAAAAAAAAGAGACCTAAAGTATCATCATTCTTATAATTCAAGAACTAATTAATAGTGCTACCAACTTTCCTCCTTTGAATCCAAAAAAACAGAAGTAAAGCCGCCACCACTCCCTCTTTATCCATGCTTTATCCATACTATGTTGCGTCAAAAATTAGGTGGATTGTTATCCTCATACATAATAGTCAACTAAGTTCGGCATTGTCTATTACATTACGGCCCTCTTTTTGGGTCCTCCAGTCAAAGACCTCATCTAATGTTAACAAACATAGACATCATTTATTTTACCGATTTGAGTTTTCAGTTTTAAGTTTCTACAGTAAAAAGTTCTCAGAAAATGTCACATCTAATTTTTCTGCTACAGTGAAAAGCTCTCAGAAAATGTCACATCTCAACTCGAATTAAAAACTCGAATCCGCGAATTAAACGAGGCCTATATTGTCGCTTTTTAGTAATGCTCGTGGAAGTTCCACCATCGTTATATGAAATGATGATAGCGCATGCGATATACAATCCACTTATCCTGTCGAATCCGCTACATATTGCAATGATAGTCAAGTGTGCAACGTGCTTGATGACGTGACCGAGTGGGCGCAGTAACCACATATTTCCGTAATCAGTAGCAAATTAACATTAAACATTTAAAGTGCCTTTGGTTTACAACATTAAATTTCGCTTAAGAATCTAAACGGAAAATAACTCATCAAAAGCAACCGGACAACCAATGTTTGCATATATAGTATTTAATTATTTATCATATTCGAAGAGAATAGTATTGCTGTACGTCCCGAACGTCTAGACATTTAGTTTTGGATTTATATGAGGAATTCCCAGTTAATTAGCATGATCCTTATTGGAAATATATATATATATATATGAAGAGGAAAAAAAAAAAGCTCCATCATTAACTCTTATATATCCTAAACATTTAACGACCAAATGTTGTGACAAAACGATATTTTTCAATTGGTGATTAATTCTATCAATGAAGAGAAAAAAAAAAAAGTTTAAACAGCTCGATCGAGAGAGAGGGTCCTCCGTCCTCGCCTAATATACGAGGAAAGTCGTATTTAAGTTGCTCAATAATGCTATTGGATATATATATATATATATATATATATATATTACGTAATACAACATCTATAAATATTCGTTTAATCCAGGAAGATCCTACTAATTTCCATACTTGGCCTTGTAATCACTCCAGAGCTGATCAACTGTTTTCCCCAGAAGCTCAACAAAGAAATTATCATTGTAACCAGTCCTCATCTTCTTGTTAAGCTCAGCAACAACTCCATTTCGAAGATCATTACGATAATCCAAAAACCTAGCAGTAACATCGTACCCTTTGTCCCATTTTTCACCTCCTCCTGGCTTCACCCAGTGGCTGGGAACATAGCCAGACTTCAACCTCACGAAGTCCGCGATTCCTTCTATCAACCATCCCGGAGTCTGTCCGTTTCCATTCCACTGCCAAATATGAGTCGTCTCGTGGTAAAGAACCCCGGCGATCTCCCTCTTCACGTCGCCAGAGTATTTTCCGATGTACCTGGCGCTGACGTGGATCTCATTGTTGCTTGCGTACGCGACGCCGTCGATGTCTTCGATGAATAGGCTTATTTTTGGCACCTCTTTTCTGTCGGCAGCAGAGTTTTGCTGGAACACCCTCCATATGAAATGCGTGGCTGATATTAGGGTTTTCCTGCTGCATTTGGCTCCGATCTCATTGTTGAATCGTATGCCACCGGCGGTGGATGTCGCGTTGTTGGTGACAATAAACTCGACTGCGTGGATGCCGTTGATGGTAGCCGCCAGGGTTAGTGCTAGCAAGGAGAGGGAAAGGAAACTGTGTGCCATATTGGTTGTGCTGCAGTTGTGTAGTGTTTTGATGCATTGTTGAGGCATGGCTTATAATTTATATAGAGAATTGTACCATGATTAAGTATTGTCAGCAATTTGTCTTGTATTGGAGGTTTGAAATGGTCGTCAAAGGTTGGCATTGAACCACTTATGGATTATGTTTTTAGGGTTTTCAAACTAGTGACTAAAAAGGATTGACTAAAATTCTGTATGAGAAGTACTATAGATAAATGTAATACTCTAGTCCTATTAAGTTACGTTGAAGACTCTAATTATTACACAAAATCATTAGTACTGAATGGAAATTATGGGCAGAAATGGGAAGTGAGACATTTTTGATGTGTGAATGGAATTTGTTATTTCTCGCACAATTTCTTTGTGGTGCTGAAAAGTTTTCCTACTTTTTATAGCAATTATATTATTATAAATTTTCTTTAATTTTTTATCTTTATTAAGTAATATTATTAAGAAAATAAAAAAATACTATTTGCGACAACATTTCTACAGTGCCGTCGCAAATAGTACACATTACTAGCGACGACATTTTTCTACGGTATCGTCACAATTGCTCTATGACACGTCATCATCAACGACATATTCGACGGAACATTCGTGACGATTTATTCGTGACGACTGTCGTCGCAAATATATTTGTGACGACATCTCAAAATTTTGTTGTCGCAAATATATAATTTGCGTCAAATTTTTTACGGTGACTAATTTGCGACGACATGTCGTTAAAAATGCAGTATTTGCGACGACATTGAGTCGCCGCAAATGACTTTTTTTCTTGTAGTGTTATATGATAACTTAAGCGCCAAGTCACCCAGGCCATTCGAGCAGCTCGCTGGACGAGCTGTCGGTCCGTCGGGTGGCAACCCGTGAGTTATCCAAAGCTTGTGGCTTGAGAGTTGAGCTTGCCGAAGGCTGTTCTGACCCGAGCCACAAACGACTCGTTTGGGTCGCAAATTTGGGCAGCCCTATTTGGCCGACAGCTTGAGAATTGAGTCTGCCGAAGTATGATCTGACCCGAGCGGCGAACAACTTGTTTGGGTCGTGAATTTGGGCGAGTCATCGGAGACTCGTTTGCCCGTTACTTATGGAAAATTTGTTTGAAAATTTTTGTTGTGATGTTTCTATTTAGTGTTTTGTAAGGACGTTGTAAGAACATCCTGTCCTCCTTTCCACCAAAAGTCTTGGCCGACTGTCAGATAGCGAATCCATACTTTCGAGAAGAAAGGGATCACGCGTTGCGATGTATTATTGTGGAACCTTTATGTTAGTTGTACTTACAGGGGTTGATGAAGTCCATTGGAAAGAGATGGATTGACTGGATTCTTGGCCGAAACCTGATATCAACCGCATCGAGTGTTCGGCATCAACCCGGAGGTTGGCATTGGGATTACCAGTACTAATAAACTTCGGCATCGACTGGTTATGTCGGCAACGATGCGATTGTCGGCTGCAGTCCGGAGGCCGGAATAATATGTGATTATCTATAATAATCGATGTTGCCACAGTGATATAAAGGCCTCTATTCCCCGTATCGGGCCTTCCACTGTACTGGTGCAATTAGTGTAGTGAGTGTTCCTGCAGCTTTGACGTGTCGCTTTAAGTTTATGAGAACTAAGAATAGCTTTGAGTTGTGAGAAGCTCGTTAGCTGTGAGCGACTCGAGAGCTGAGAAGCTCATTCAAGTCGTGAGAAGCTCGTTAGTCGTGAGCGACTCGAGAGCTGGAAAGCTCATTGGATTCGTGACAAGTTCATAAGCCGTGAGAGACTCTAGAGCTTACAAAAGCTCGTTTGAGTCATGAGAAGCTCGTCAGCTGTGAGCCGCTCAAAAGCTGACAAAAGCTCGTAAGGCACGAGTGGCTCGTTAGCTGTGAGCGACACGAGAGATTACGGAAGTTCGTAAGGCACGAGCGGCCCGGGAGCTGAGAAAATCTCGTGAGGCACAAGCGGCTAGTTAGCTATGAGCGACTCGAGAGCTAATAAGCTTGTATAAATTATGAGAAGCTCGTTAGCTTTGAGCGGCTTGTGAGCTGACAAAAGCTCGTGAGGCGTGAGTGGCTCATTAGTTGTGGCGGCTCGAGAACTGACGGAAGCTCGTGAATCCCTTCTCTGTAAGTTGTATCGAAGACAAGTGGGGAAAATGGATTCTAATAAAAAGTCAGGCTAGATTCACTTATAGTACAGAAGTTGCCCACGTACCCATG